AAAAAAAAAAAAAAAAAAAGTCTGGCATTATAGGACAGCCAAGAATCACACCTGTTGCTTGTTCATTACTAGAACAGTCAGTACTCCTTGGCCTTCTTACTTCTAGTAATTTCTGCTATGTTGTGAAATCGTTGATGCCTTTTTCTTCCTCCAGAATTCTAAGATAGAACTTCTCGTTGTGCTCAATGCTCTTTTTCTTTTCTTAAATTAAAACAAACATTTCTTTTAGCACTGGAGAAAGTATGACAAATCCAGGCTAACAAGGAAAGGTGCTTTTATTGAGAAAAAAAGATCACTTACATCAAAACTGGTAGTGCCTCCAAAATATTAATACATAGATTGCTTCCTCTTAAATGTTGTACCTGTTTATATGAAAAAGGGGACTGGTTAGAGTTGAGTAGAGGTGGGCGTCCGCAGACTCTTTTATGCTTCTCTGTGTTTTCCAACATGTCTTCATTGACATGTGGCTATTGCTTTTTTCATCAGAAAAAAAAATTGCTAAGTGTCAGTGGCCAGGGAGCACCAAGGGAAGATGTTGCTGGTCTGTTAATAGAGACCCCAGGATAAGTGCCTATGCGTGGGCCCACTGAGAGCAGTGCCTGCCTTTCCTATAGAAATTAGCCAAGCATGGTGGCAGGAGCCTATAGTTCCAGCTACTTGAGAGGCTGAGGCTGGAGGATTGTTTGAGCCCAGGAAGTTGAAACTTCAGTGCACCTTGAGTGTGCCACTACACAACAGCCTGGGCGACACAGTGCAACTCCAACTCCAAAAAAAAAGAGAGGTCCCTTGCCAGGGGTGCCCAAGCTGGTGTGGGTGGCACCTGTCTGTAGGAGTTCACATCCCAAGCGCTTTCCTCCTGGTCTGCCTTGTGGGGAAGGTCTTGTACCACGTGAGTAAGCAGGTGGGAATGGTTTTGTCCTCAGGTAGAGCATTTAATAAATATCATGGTTAACCCAAATTTGAAACTGTTTGGTTACTGTTAGGTCACACTCCCAGCAGGCCCTCCAGACTGTTAGGTCAGGCCAGCCGGGTTGTGGGTGTCTGCTGTGCGATCTGACGCTACATGAAAGATGCAAGGAATTACGCAGAAGTTAGATTAGAAAATATAGTTTATTTTAAAACTAAATTAAAAGGAGAAAGAGGAGATTCACCTCCCCAAGGTAGGGGAGAAGGCCAAAGCCAGGAAACATGGCAACAGCCATAGCTCAAATAGCACATGGCCACACCATAGCTTAGCAAGGCAGTGGTGGCTGGTCCTGGTGGTTGAGTCCTTTTCATCCTTCCCATTGATAGGGAAAGGTCATTAAGATAATTGGGTGGTGGTCTTCTCACATCATCACGAAGTGGCAGGTAAGCACAGGTACTGACTGACAGGTGATGGACAGCAGGTAGGTGGGTGAGTTAGTCACATGACTGCTGCCATGGTGGTAGGCTAGCTGGGAAGGAGACAAGGGGAAGGGGTTTTTCCTGCAAGAGACCTGTCAGGCGTTTCCAGTCCACAAACTCCTTACCAAAAAGGTGATCTTATTATCATTTCTATAACTTCAGCCAGCTAAGGAGTGATCTTTAATTATTATGCCGAACCATTAATTGAAAATTTGGACTGGCCAGGCATGGTAGCTCCTACCTGTAATCCCAGCACTTTGGGAGGCCAAGGTGAGAGGATGGCCTGAACCCAGGGATTTGAGACCAGTCTGGGCAACTTGGTGAGACCTCATCTCTCCAATACAAATCAAAAAATTGGCCAGGTACGGTGGCTTATGCCTATAACCCCAGCACTTTGGGAAGCTGAGGTGAGAGGTTTGCCTGAACCCACGGGTTTGATACCAGCCTGGGAAACTTGGTGAGACCTCATCTCTACCAAAAAAAAAAAAAATTAGTTGGGCATGGTGGTATGTGCCTGTAGTTCCTGCTACTTGGAAGACTGAGGCAGAAGGATCTCCTGAGCCCAGCAGGTTGAGGCTGCAGTGGCTGTGAGCAAGCCACTACACTCCCGCCTGGGCAACAGAGTGAGACTCCAACTAAAAAAAAAAATCAGCTGGGCATGGTGATGCATGCCTGTAGTTCCAGCTACTTGGAAGGCTGAGGTGGAAGAATCACTTAAGCTTTGCAGGTCGAGGCTGCGATGGCCATGAATGTGCCACTGCACCCCAGCCTGAGTGACAGAGTGAAACTTTGACTCAAAAAAAAAAAAAAAGAAATGTTGGACTGTCCTTGTCTTGCATCTGATGGAGATTTGCCAAGGGGTGGAGTAAGCTGCCAGCTTGGCCTGCAGTAAAATGTCTGAACGCTTCCTATAACCTGCCTATTGGAAATTTGTCTGTGTCTAACCTGTGCTAGATTCAGAGCATGTCAGTCTATGCAAAAATGTCTATGCTTGAGGCAAAATGTGAACTAAATTTATTCTGTTTCTCAGGGTCTCTCCTTTTAGTTACCTTAACCTAGGTGTTTATACTTAAATATTTTTCCTTGTGCAAAATGCAGTAGTACTCTTTGAAATGAAAAGAGGTCTATAATTTCTATACTCAGAAATAGGCAGTTATTATTTCTGGGTGTGGGGGCTCATGCCTGTAATTCTAGCACTTTGGGAAGCTGAGGTGGGAAGATCGCTTCAGGCCAGGAGTTCGAGATTAGTCTGGGCAACAAATTGAGACCTCATCTCTACAAAAAATATAAAAATTAGCTGGACATGGTGGTGCACACTGTAGTCCCAGCTACTTGGGAGGCAAAGGTGGAAGGATCGCCTGAGTCCAGGAGGTCGAGGCTGTGGTGAGCCATTCTTGTGCTACTGCACTCCAACCCAGGTGACAGAATAAAAACCTATCTCAAAGAGGGAAAAAAAGCAATTGAATTGGTCTCTGGTGGCAAAGAGAGCTGCCCAGACTCCCCTTGGAGTCTGGGGCGGGGGGGTCTCATTAGCAGCTCAGGGGATCTGTGGGTAGAATTCAGGGCAAACTTGGCTTGGAAAAAAGTTATATCTGCATTTGCACTAACCTCTAGTTAAAATTTAGCACTTTCTTAATTATGAATGTAATGTACAAATTTCAGTAGAATTCATGACTGTTTTCTTCCCTGCAAGATCACTATCTTATCACCACCAGATCTTGTTATTTGATGCATTGAGAGCACACATCGTACTGCTTCACATGCTGTTTTCTAGAGGCTGCGTGACCTATATGTCAGTATAATCGGTTTCCTTTTTGCGGTGTATTTTATGATTGCATGACATTGTGGGAGGGGTCTACAGCCTCCGCCAGATTGCCGAAGGGGCCGTGGCAGAGAAATGTTGGGAACCAGGCCCTGCTGTGAGCATCTTGTGCTGTCACACCTGCTGTGTTTGCTGCCATGTCCCCCCTCAGGGCCTGATGGGTCACAGGCCTTGGTCAGTATGTTCTGAATGGGTGACTGAACGAGGGTGGGTGTCCGTTGACTACCTTGACCCCTTACTCTGAGCGTACCTCTGAGCTCACCTCTTTCATTCACCATTTGAGCAGCATTTATGGAGTACCTACTGTATGAGAAGCCATGGTCGGTTCCTCAGAGCCCGTCTACTGGGAGGACAGATAGGATCATGGCAATGTGCATCTTAAAGCCAGCCGGATGATTTCAGGTGGTGGCCAGTGCTCCAGGGAAATCCGGCCAGGGTGTTTGGTCAACAGCAAGGCAGACCGGGTGGGGGTGACAGCGTGGAATGGGGGTGGGAGAGAGCAGTGCCAAGGCCCTACCTGTGATGGAATTTGGATTTTATTCTGAAGGCCCTGGGTTGGGGGAGACACAGCATTGTGGGGTTTACATTTTAAAAGGATGAGTAGCTGTGTGTGGAGAGATCTGGGTGACAAGAGACTGGTGGTGCAGACCTGAGAGGGCAGGTGTCAGGGTGGTAGCTTTGGGAGGCTGAGGTGGGAAAATTGCTTAAAGCACAGGGGTTTGAGACCAGTCTGGGCAGCATAGTGAGATCCCATCTCTACAAAAAACCAAAAATTACCTGGGGTGTGAGTGTGCATGCGTGTGGGTGGGTGTGTGTATAAGATCAGGTGTTCTCAGCTCAGAACTGTAGAGTAGCTTCTGGCTCACAGTAAAGCCTCCAACCTCCGCAGTCTCATCCCCCTGCCTCGCTGACCTTGCCTCTGTGGCATGCCCCGTCGGGCTGCTTTCCAGTGGAGGCCTATCTGCAGGTCCTCTCCTGCCTCAGGACCTGGGCACTGCCACCCCTGGGCCTGGAAAGCTCTCCCCAGAGAGCCACATGGCTTGTGCGCTCAGCTCCTGTGTTCTGCTCTGGTCTTAACCTTCTCAGTGAGGGCCCCTCCCCCCTCCTTGTTTAAAGTGGTAATGAATGAACTTCCTGCTTGCCTGACCTTGGTTTTCTCAAGAGTGGTTCTCACCTGCTGATGTGCAGTGGAATTGCCTGTGTGGGTGAGTGTGTGCTCCACCGGCAGGAGCTGTCCCAAGCTGCCGGTCATATCAGCACTCAGTGCTGTTAGTCAGGGGGTGCCCAGCACCAGTGTCTTCACAAGGCTTACCTTGTCCCACTCCCGAGGGCCGGCACACAGCTCCACCGTGAAGCATAGTGCCAAAGGAGGAAAAGGAGAGTGGCCAAAAGAGATGGCAACAGGGTTTTCAGATGTGCTTTTTGAGGCACAAGGTGGGTCTTTAAAAGCAAGCAAAGAACTAGGCCAGGCATGGCGGCTCCTGCCTGTCATTTCAGCACTTTGAGAGATCAAGGTGGGAGGATCACTTGAGTCCAGGAGTTCAGACTGGGCAACATAGTGAAATCTCATCTCTACAAAAAAAAAAAAAAAATTATCTGGATACTGGCACTCACCTGTAGTCCCAGCTACTCAGCCACTTGGGAGGCTGAAGTGGGAGGATTGCCTGAGCCCAGAGGATAGAGGCTGCAGTGAGCTGTGATCATGCCACTGCACTCCAGCCTGGGCAACAAAGAAAGACTCCAACTCAAAAATAAATAAGTAAAAACAAGCAAGAACTATGGCTAGAAAGAATAGAAAACACTTCCTGCAGAGGGAAAGTCTGCAAGCAAAACAGAATGTAGGAATAAGAAAACAAAGCATGCTCGTGGATCAGAAACCCTGTGGCCCAGGTAGAGCACAGCGAGGTGGGGCATAGCAGAGGTACACGGCATGCCTGCGCAGTCTGCTTGACTCTAGACTTGGTGTGAATTGGAACTTGTGACATGGGCCCAGTCAGGCCAGTCTGGAATGTGTGATGAAGAGCACAACGGCGGGATTTCTTTGTTGTGTTTTTTTTTTTTTTTTTAGTTGGAGTCTCACTCTGTCACCCAGGCTACAGTGTGGTAGCACGCTCATGGCCACCACAGCCTCAACCTGCTGGGCTCAAGCAATTCTTCTGCCTCAGTCCTCAGAGTAGCTGGAACTACAGGTGTGCACCACCACGCTCGGCTAATTTTTTGTAGAGACAAGGTCCCGCCAAGTTGCCCAGGCTGATCTCAGTCCCCTGGACTCAGGCAGTTCTCTCTCCTCTGCCTCCCAAAGTGCTGGGATGACAGGTGTTAGCCACCATGCCCGGCCAACAATGGCAGAATTTTAACTCAAGTCACCATGGCTGAATTTGGAGCCAGGTGCTTTCCTCACTCTGCAGCCTTGGACAGTTCGTGACCTCTGGGTTGCGAGCCTTGGATGCTCATCTGCCGTGAGAGAACCATCTTCACTGTACAGGGTTGTGACGAAGATGAAAGCAACTAATCGTAACTTCTCCCAGTCTCCGCACTGGGCTATCTCTACCCAGTGACCAGAGGGAAATTTCTTTTTGAATTGAAGTCTCACTTCATCATCCAGGCTGGAGTGCAGAGGCCTACTCTTGGCCACCCCAGCATCGACCTGCTAGGCTCCGTGATCCTTCCACCTCAGTCTTCCCAAGTAGCTGGAACTACAGGTGTGCACTACCACACCTGGCTAATTTTTTTTATTTGTTGTAGAGACAAGGTCTCGCCAGGTTGCCTGCGCTGGTCTCAAACCCCAGGCTCAGGCAGTCCACCTGCCTTGGCCTGCCAAAGTACTGGGATTACAGGCTGAGCCACCGAGCCCAGCTCAGAGGGAACTTTTTAATGAAAAGAAGAGTGAAATGAATGAGCAATGCCTTTTTCTTAGCTCCTTTGTTAAATTTTTTTTAATTGTGTAAAATATACAGATGTGAGATTTAGCGTGTAGATCTCTCTATATGTAGTTTAACTGCGTAAGGGCCTTCATGTCATCCCTGGCAGCTGCTCTCACCACTCTGTCTCCAGAAACTGTATATCAGCCAGAGGGAGTCTTACTCTCTTGCCCAGGCTGGAGGGCAGTGGCACCATCACTGCCACCGCAACCTCGACCTCCTAGGCTAAGGAGACACTTCTGCCTCGGCCTCTCAGGTAGCTGGGACTACAGGCTAGTTACACCATAACTAGCTAATTGTTTTTATTTTTTGTAGAGATGAAGTCTCATTTTGTTGCCCAGGCTAGTCTCAAACTCCTGGGCTCAAGCAATCTTCTCACCTCAGCCTCTCAAAGTGCTAGGATTACAGGCATGAGCCACCGCACCTGGTGGAATTTTT